GAAAAAAGCGACATTATTTTCGGAACGACCTAATATATTTGCTTCCGATTCTCATGTGTATACATATGCATATTTGAACACCACATTAATTTGTTAATTGATTCTCAGCCTCACTGATCTTGTTTAATCTCAGGTGCATTATCAACCTGCCTCTTGCTGTATAGATGGTGCCTGCATGCATTGTGCCATTTGCTTTCTCAATAAAACTATATCGCTGTTTACGTCTCTTAACATCTAAAAGTCTAGAGGAATTTCCACATTAAAGTGATGCCTTAGTAAAAAGCGAAAACCTAGTATTGGAAAGAAAAACCTAGTATCAAAAAGGAAGCTTGATATGGAAGGAACGGATTGCGAATCAAGAGCGAAAACCGCAAAGTGCTGCGGAACTCCAACCAAAGTGCTGCGGAAACCTGCGAAACCGCTGCGGAAGTTCCGGCCAATTGTCTGAGTAGTTCTTGGCCTTAACGGGAGTCTTATCAACTTTTGAAACTTTTCTTGCATGTGTTGAGATGTTTAAGAGGTTAATTCTCAATGTCCCTCACTTTACAGGCTCTGATGAAGGTGATTAGGCCGAAACGTTGGCCGAATAGATGATATATTAATCTTGGTGTTGTCACTCAAGCAAGTTAAAACGCAGTTAGTTCGAAACAGACTACGATCGATAATGTATATATAACAAGTCGATGTCATAGTCTGTCCGCACGGCAAAATAGGTGATTGTGCCCAAATGGGAGCAGCATATCAGTCAAATGTCTTAGCTACAACGCCATCTATATCGGAGAAACTGGCGGGGCATTCAGTAATCGCCTAAAAGAACATCTTACAGATTAAAGGCGAAAATTGATTTCACCTCTAAGCAAACATAGCCACGATTCGCATAGTGGAGACGATGTCGATATCAAATGCCAAATCTTGGCACACGAAAAGGAGACCCCGGCGAGGAAACATTGAAAGCATTCTGGATTTCTGCGAAGAATCCAGCAATGAACAATAAGAATGAGTGTTTGTCACTCACGTACTTCTTCTCCTTCATATCTTTATGCAGACTGTAGATCACTTATGTGAGTTTATGGTATAGTCCATTCCATCCGCCAAGACCATCACTTCCGGTGCGGAACCACAAAAAGCGGTGTCCACAGGGTATGTTCATCGTCTGGCATAGCAATTTACGGTAGAAACGTTGAACGAAGGTTGAGAACTAGCAGGAATGGAGGTGGTATTTGGTGGTTTCGTTTCGCCGGTAATGCTTTGAACCATTTTCAAGCCTGTGAGGATGACGAAAGGCTCGAAATTAGGCCGTGATTGGAAATAAAGAACACCTAACAAACCTGCTTGGCACAAAAGCACTCCTAGCCTTTCTTTACACAGGCTTTGGCACACGTTTACGTGTATGGGATAAAGATAAAGATACTATCTTGAAAACAATTTTTTACTTCTGGCTTCATAAGAATCCAAGTTTCTCTTGAAGGAAAAACTGTTTTTTTTAATTTATAACTTTTCAATCAATAATTTACATAGAATTTTATACTCAAGCCTGCTTGATTATCTTCAAATGTCATGAGCGTGACGCTGGCGGTAAGGTCATCCCTGAAGCGCTCCCGTACTTCGTTAAGTTCAATTAGAAATTCTGGAAGCTGAAAGTTGTAACAGGTGTAAGAGTGGTGTTTCTTTTTTATCACTTTTCCTTTTTTGATTCCCTTCCTTATCTAAAACATTTGATTCTTTGTAGATGGCCTGCTGAAGCTGTCGTCAGTCTCTGTCAGATTTTCTGATAAATTTTGTCGTGTCTCGTCACGTTCTGTATCTAACTTCGAAATAATTCCTTCTTTGAGTCCTGTATCCAACTTTGAAATAAATCCTTCTATCTCAGAAAAATTCACTATTAAAATTATTCAGCTCTGTAACCTTTCACTAATCGATCGATACATAGCACGTTGGCAGCCTTGTATCAACTCAGGGGGCGAGTACGACACGATTACTATAATATTTGTAATACACATTATCATGTTCCAAAAAAATGTCCCTAGTGTTTGATCGTTAATAACTTTCTTGATCGATTGTCTTTCGCCGTCATTGAGGTAAAATTTTGTAGAGCTGACTTCAAACTAGATTTGCATTATGGGCCGATTACCGATGTTTCCAGGTTAATGTAGGACTACATAGAAACTGAATAGTTTTGAGTAGCCGAGTGATCTACCTCTGAAGGGGACCGAAATAAGCTAAAAACTTTTACATATGTTGATCATATTAGATGAATGTAAATACTCACACTTCAACGTAACGCTTTTTTATGAGTAGCAACAGAGAAACAGCAACAAACGTTTTTTTAGAAAAGAGGGGGGGGGGGGAGGTTCCCCTCTAAGGCTTGATCACACCGATTACAAAACCCTGAAAACTCGTAAAAATGAACAAGCAACAGCTCGCCCCAGCTCAAAGCTTGCAAAGATCAATGCAGTCGATGATTCTGAAGAAACATATCGTATTCGTAACCGGCATGCTCACATACTTTCGTGAAAAGACAAAGCTGCTTTGGGTTGAAAAGTAGAAATCCAGGTAAAATCGAAGATTCCTTGCAGCATCAACTGATTATACACTGAACAAAAGGATCGTATCACTTTATGACAAAACTTTGGAATAGTCACATCATATACAATATACATTCGTGCAACACATAATTCCGAACGATTATGCATTCTGCGTATTTCTTGAAAATCGCGTTATACGACAAATCAACTATAGGCTGTATCACCCACCATCGATCGCGAGGATCCAAGGGATGAGGCTGCGCGCGCGCGTCGCATGCGTGGGAAATTAGTACTCGAGCGCGACTGATCGCACCAAAGCATGTGCAGTCGTCCCTTCAAGCTGTTTTTCCCTTCGTTTCAACTTTTCCCCGTGCCTTTCCTGTCCTTCTGTGCGCTTGCGTCAACTACGGCTCATTTTGGATGGTGAGGCATCGTTCGAGGAAGCACCAAACCGGAAAACTCGTTGAGAGATGCGAGATGCTATCATTCAATCTTGAACTATAGGACTGCAAAACGTAACGCTCACTTGTGAAAACAGACCAAACATTCGCATCTCCTCATTTTGCTTCAATTGGTCACTTCAGATGCCAGCAACAAAAGGTGGAGCACGCAAATCAACGTGTGCAATGCGTTTTCAAGTGGCCTAGCCTTAGAATGAGTTTTCGAATGGTTCTATTGATTTTGTATTGAGATTACTCAGGAATACAACAATATCTGGGAGTGATGGCCATGATCGCAAAGAAACTTCTTGGGTGATGGTTCACGCTATGCTATTTTGAAGCCTGCAGCATATAAAATACACACGCACATGAATGAAACCTAATGTAGGGATGTAAAGCAGAGATAGACAAAGAAACATCAAAATAAGCAGAGTCAGTTGATCCGTCCAACTCTGAATGTAGGCCAATTTTGCGCTCGAGTACCAAATTCCTACGTATGCGGCGCGCGTACAGAGACTCATACCGTGGTTCCTCGCGACCGATGGTGGGTGATATGGCCTATAAACGTCATTTTACAATATACCCAGATGTTAGACCCAGTTTTTAGGGAGTAGAAAATATCAGACTGAGAAGTCTTCAAGCGGATAAAGTGACTTAGAGGAACCTTTCGTAGCGAAGTTCAATTACCCTATCACGTACACTGATGAGTTGATTAGTAAGGAAGCATGTGAGGATGAAATTGCCTACAAACTTTTTCAACTACAAGGAGCCACCTTTTCGCAACAGTTCGACATCTGATAAAATCGCAACGGCACAATTTCAAAGCATTAATGTGTTCTGTAGATCTGTAGATCGACGTACGATTTTTTGGGATTCATATGGCTTGCGAGGCAAACTTCTAACGTGAAAAAGATTGAACGTGCCTACTTCAACAACTACTTAGGAAGACTATGAGCTTTTTGTTCCGCGACATGAGGCAGGAAATCGTATACATGCATTACGCTCGTCCTTCAAAGGCAATCGTAACAAATCATACAATGATGGCCGGCATTATATGGCAATGAATGACCCTTTGATCCTTCCTTGTTAAACTTCGGGAAACAAACCATTTCATCGATTTTCTAGGAGAGTGCGAAAATGACTGACTGTAACAAGCAAGCATACAGCCCAAGTTTTTGGAGGGTTACAGGAAGGTGTTTTTGCGAAAGCGTTCAGTTTCTACTGTGGAAAGAATCCAGTGGAGGGCGCCGCTATCCTTCCGAGTCTTGTCACCGCTAACACTTCAAAGGGATGCCACCTTTGGTTCTGCACATAGGTGATCCGAGGATCAAGATGAACTGTGTAAAGTTGTTCGGTAAAATAAAGCAAGTGACGTTCTCTTGGGACTGCTCCGACTGCAGGTTTTGTATGAGATATAAAACCATGGGAAACCTACTCTGTATTCAAAGTACAAAAGCCTTGCTATGCTGCGCGATAAGGAAGAATGGTACGAAACAACAACCTCATATGCGTTTAGATTCCGTTAAAATGTGAATTTCGGCAAGGCTACTAGACTCAGGAGGATGTCATCGTTATCAAGGTTTGCCGTTTCTTGACTGCACGTAGGCAACTCAGCGAGTAGATTGTATAAACTACGGTGAACAGGTAGGACATGTGCCAACTTAGTCGAATTGATATTACGCGAAAAACAAGAGCAAATGAGGAGGCCTCGTACAGGGCTTATCAAGCGGAGTGTCGCTTGCTTCAGCATCTCCACTCCCGCGCTGGACTCTGCATCTCTTCCGCGAACATGCTCTCTTATCACTTTCCCAGGGCGAGCGTATGAAAGGCGGAGCCTCGATCGATTGGAAGTGGTTAGAGAGCATGTTCGCGGAAAAGACGCAGAGTCCAGCGCAGGAGTGGAGATACTGATGCAAGCGACCCTGCTTTGATAAGTCCTGATCACCGAGCTGCGCAAATTTGCATTAGCCTACAACACCTTGAGAGCATGTTGTTCAGTGGGACAAAGGACAACCTACATGCGATTGCGATTCTTTCAGATAAACATACATTCCGAAAGACTCCTATATGCACTTCCTAGAACAAATATCCTTGATTTGAACCAATTAACCTCACATGACTTCTTGTAATACTGATAATCTAACCGCTTTTCGTTTTTGCTTTGAAAGAACTCAATGATATCCTAGAAAAGTACATTATGAAGGCCGTCACGCTCAGCAAAATTAGCCAGACTACCAAAACAAGCATGAGTAGGCTGACCATCTGTCCAAGCGAAGCGTTCGGACCAGAAAACCGAGTGGTTATCGAAGGCGGAAGAGATTCGCTATCGGCAAGTTCGCATGATACGGTTTCACCCTTCAAAATGAAGACTAAATTTTGAATGAAAATAGAAATGTTAGGAAACTACAATTGTGGTTTGCCTTTAGGCAACCACAGTTGTAGTTTGAATGAAATAAGTATGATTTAGTGTAAAGAATGCAAGTACGTATTTCAAGTAGGCGAAATAAGCTTCTATAATAACTGACATTCTCGATTGTGAACAGAAGGAAGAGCCAAAAAATCAAACCTCTACAATATCATTTAACAATCTTAAAAAAAGGCAAAATATGTATTCGAATACATAATTGAAATCCAAGGAACTCACATTTGAGCTATGATGACTTAATTGCATGCGGCCGTCTTCATAGATTTGTACCTGAATTCCCATTTGTTGTAATTGTTTGATGTGTTCCGCGTTATTTCCAGAGAAGGACCATGCACGTAAACGTTCAGATCTCCAGTAAGAAAGAGTAAAATTTTCCCGGTTTGTTTCTCAGAGCTTGCAAAACTAACGGTTTGAAGCACTGTCCCGACTGCGGTTCCTGCTGTCGCTGGATATCAAATAACTTCTCGAGAATATTTTGTGTTCGTTCTCGAATTCGCATTGCTTCTTCAGCTTCAGTAGGCTCCTGATCGGCACCGAACGGATTTGCAAATTCGTACTCCTTATCGGGCAAGGTTGGTACATCATCAGGACGAATAAATAAGCGACGAGGAACCTAAGCACGAAACTGTCAATTGGGGACACATCAAAGCTCAAGTGCAAGGATCATGCTAAGTTTATTGCGCATGGCAGCTTCCCGAATTAAAAGCGCAAGGAACACCAGTAACATAAAACTAAATATTTCTATGAATACTTGCATATTCAGATAGCAGAGATTAAAAGCATATTCGTCAAGTGAAGTAGCAAAGTGAAAAAAAATTGAAATTATCTAAACACACATCTTGGCTCGAGCGTGAATCACGTTATGGAAAAACTCCCCAAGGTTCCAACTAAACAAGTAATCCACATGCACATGAAGGCGTTACCAGTAAATTATGCTTTCATGCTACAGCATGCATATATACAAATAGCTGTGCTATTAGCCAATAGCTTGCACTTACAGGGTGCGCCACAATTATTTGCGCGTGTATCATTAAGCGCCATACAAACATAAAAACGGCTCAGCCAGCGGTCAAGCTTGATATTGTTTTCTTGGTTCTACAACATTGTATCCTAGTTGAAAGAAGTAAAATTGCCTGTTTTGCTTTTCGGTAAAAAATCATGAAATTTCTCTGACTTTGTCGCGTGCTGCACGCGGGTAGAGGTCCACAAACTTGCCCAGTATGTATCTTTCTAGTGATCGCTTCTTTCAGGTGAAGATTTCGCCATAAAATAGATCTAATCATTGACTTCAAAGTCACTGAGGTTCGGAATCTTTAAGAGCATTCAAAACAAAAATTTTGACTATTTAATAATTAGCGTCAGCTTGCGTTTTTTCTGTCACGAACATTGCTTTTTCCAATTCTTACTTCTCTAAATAAAGACCGATTTGGGATCTTGATAATGCTTTTTGTAGAGTATACTTACGGCATCCTGTGACATTAAATCCGGACCAAATTTCTCACTGCTATTGTTGTGACATTACTTTGAATATTTTGGCGCACCCTGTATGAGAAATTTAGTAGCTCGTATGAAGTCAGAACTATAGTCAGGATCTGACTACAATTTTGTGAGCCAGAACTGTGGCTTTTAATAGCGAAAACGTCTATACGCTGCTGCATGACGAAGGCGCAATACCTTCGGGCACGAACGCGGCTCTATTAGCCGCAGAGCGCATGAGGCGCGGGATTTACAACAGTGAGGATACGCGCGCGTCTCGTTCGCGCCCGCTCAACTGATACTGCTTCTGCGCCCTCGTCATGCAGTAGCTTTTTATGTACGCACACGCGATAACTCAGACCCTTGGCGGCGCACAGTAACAGCACAAAAACTCAAAAAAAAAGGTCACTGTTACCTACAGTAGTGTTTTCGAGCACGCCACTTCAAATCACACGTTATTTGTTCCAGAAGAAAAAAAACTAACGTCTTCTGATTGAGCGCCAATACTGAGAGGCAAGAAGTGAGCTTCAGTGGTTAACACGTAATTGTCAGGGTCAAATGGCAGCTCTGCTGGTTCCGCGAAAATCATGTACAGGTACTTAAATGTCTCCGAAAGGACAAATGAGTCCATCCTTAAGCACACGTCTAGAAGGGTTTTGCGTTGACAAGCAACTTACCTGTCTTCATGCGACATAGTGCGCACGTCTTTGACTCCAGCAAATCCGCAAGGTACGCGAACAAACTCGTTTATACTCTCCATGACCTGACATATACTTTCTTTACAGTTATCATGATTTGACGTTTATGATGGCATGTGAGGGAACGGCCATACCGGCAACGGTTGCCGAGGTTGACGGCGTTGGTCAGACAATCAAAGGCTCTCAGCGGGCAGCCCAAAACCTTTTGGTGAGGTTTGGCGATGGCTTTGTGGCTACCCGTTGAGAGCCTTTGATTGTCTGAGTAGGACCTCTCTGTGTCTCATGTGCCCCCTAAGCGGTAACCACAGCAACCTCGGCAACGCCGGCGACCTATGGCCGTTTCCTGAAAAATCTATGCAACAGACCCATGTTTCAGTGTTCAGGGTAGAAGAAAGACCGGGGGCGGTATGCAACAATCGCCTGTCCGGGTAAGTTACCCGGACAGGTAGTTTCCGCTTCATAGCTCGGTGCTATGGGGATCTGTGTTCTTCCTTGTTTGTTCATCTTTGGGAGGCTCTACTACCCTAATATTGTAGCACAATGATTAGCAGCACTTTGCTGTATAAGCTGAGATAATTCGTTATTTGTATGATTCCGAACGGGATCTCCCACTGATCACGCCCTTTTTTAAAGTTATTTATATCCGCAAAAAACTCAAGGAAAACGTCACAGAGTTTTGCTCTCCATTTATTACGACAGTGCTACGCATGTTTGTGAAAGAAATAAGTGAAAAATCAAGTTGACAAAACCCTCGCTGAAGCTGTGCTCGCGTATTGGGCTTTATCGAAAAACTCAAAACTTGCACATTTCATCTGTGCTACTAAAAACATGCGTAGCACTGTCGTAATAGACCGAAAGCAAAACTATGTGACGTTTTCATTGAGTTTTTGCGGATATAAATAACTTTGAAAATGAGCGTGATCAGTGGGGGATCCCGTTAGGGATCATACAAATAACGAATAATTCAGCTTATACAGCAAAGTGCTGCTAGTCATTGTGTTACAATATTAGGGTAGTAGGGCCTCCAATAGATGGACAAACAAGGAAGAACACAGATTCCCAGAGCACCGAGCTATAAAGCAAAAACTACCTGTCCGGGTAACTTACCCGGAGGGCGATTGTTGCATGCCGCCCCGGGAGCGGACGTATCAATCGCCCGTCCGGGTAAGTTACCCGGACATGCGTAGCACTGTCGTAATAGATTGACAGCAAAACACTGTGACGTTTCCATTGAGTTTTTGCGGATATAAATAACTTCGAAAATGAGCGTGATCAGTGGGAGATTCCGTTCGGGACTATACAAAAAACGAATTATCTCAGCTTATACAGCAAGCTATGAAGCGGAGACTACCTGCCCGGGTAACTTACCCGGACGGGCGATTACATACCGCCCCGGAGAGAAAGAAAAGCAAATCGTAGTGAAAAGAAACAAAAACAACAATAAAAAATTGGAGTAGAGTACTTGATTGCGAGTAAAAGAAATCGATTGTTTCCGCCCCACTACTGTCTTTACAAACTACCTGCTTACCTGCTTGGCAACATCGAGATAATGTGGATCCTTCGTGGCTCGATAAAGAAAATACGTGCTTTCAATAAATTCAGGACGAATGGGATGCTCGCCCCAATGTACTTGAAAATCATGAGTGAAGGCCTCGGGTAGGAACTTGTGTTTCTAAATTTAGGTTACGTGCAAGTAAAAAAAAACGGAAAATGAGAATGTAGATACGAACCCGAACTACTTGAAAGAGCATCTCATGCATTTCAACTGCTCTTCTCACATCACCTTTCAGAACCTAAACATGGAATCTGCTATTAGTTTTGTGCAAAGACTTCTTCTTAAGTCGCAAACCTGTAAGCCGGGCCAAAAAGCTAGAAGAGCATCCATAAACGAACGTGTAGCCACCGTAGGTCTATGCATGTGTACGTCAACAAACAATGGTCCCTTATTGACGTAGCGCATCACAGCTTCATAGTGCTGAAAAGCCGAGTATAACTTTTCTTGCGATATACTTGTGGAGCTCACGCGATCGAATCTCTCCAAAAAGCTTTTGTCACCAAGAAGGATGTATGCCTTGAGACAGTATTCATAATATGAGTCAATGCCCGCACCTATTCCACTTTCTAAAAAAATGTCCTCAAAAATATTGTAACAAAGTCAAGCGTTGAGATACCTCTCCGAACCCAATCTCCCGAATGCACATTCAGAACTGTGCCCATCAAATCCGACGTTCGGTGACGTTGAGCCCATAAAAAATCCATGGCTTTCCTGGCCTGGAGACAGATGACATCATGTTCGTTCTTATGGGCCTCTGCGAGCAATCTTTCTGCTTTATATCGTGCATAGGATGACTTGTCGTGCCTACTTCTCTTAATCGCACATGATACTTTTGACTACATTGGCTATGCAGTTTATTTTGCAGCGAATAATTGTATATACTCTTCGCCTTCGCCATATTCCTGTGTCGCAAAATAAGCAAATGACCTCATTTTCGACAAGGTTGTCGGATATCGTCATGATAGCAAGGCAAACGCAAATTCTGACACTTAGTCAGAAGCACTCAAAATAAAAAACATTCTGAAGAATGGAAAAATTACCTTTTCTTCATAAACACCGTTCCCGGTCAACCTCGAAAGTGCCGCCATTTCCAGAAGCATGGTTCCTCCACAAGCAGTGCATGTGTCTTTCTGACGTTTCAGATGATCCAGCATCCCATAGCGAAGATTAATCTAAACGTGCATGTTACGACACACTACACTTCATCACTGCATCAAAAACAAGTACTTGTGTGAGCTAGTCGAGATAGCTACTGCTGCTGGTTTTGCTTTATCGGAGGAAATCGAGCAAAACTGACAGCAGTCAAAGAAGTGCGAACAAAAACAAAAAGGAAAGAGAGTTAAGTTAATAAGTAAAGAGACTCGGACTTGAACCTTACTCTGCTATACGGCAATCCCGAGGACGTGTTGAAAGCGGGAAGCAAACGATTTCCTATATCTTCGGCCATCTTGAGTAACTGTCTATCACTATACCACTGCAGACGAGAAGGATCTCTAGCTCGCACCAACTCCGCCAAAAGGTGACCTGCAAGTGCATAATGAATAGGTGACAAAAAGAAAGCTACGGCCCCGGCTAGACTTCGACGCGCACAAAAGCGCCCGAATTTCGGTAACATATATTCCCTTTTTCTATCTCTCCTCACACAAGAATTTGGGTGTTTTTAGGCGCTTTTGGGCGCTTTTGCACTCTTGAGCGAAGTTTGGCCGGGGCCTACGAGTTTAGGGTGTCACAAGTTCAAAATCTAGTGAGGTGTGTGTGCAATACTTTACACTGACAACTTCTGGAAACATTATGAGTCTGAATGTATTCACCAACTCCTGTAATGCAACACCGCATTCTTTGTAGTTTCTGAAACTGAATCTTTTCGTGTTTCCAGCAGTTTTCACAAGAAATCAAAACTTATTAGAAATTGCGAACTATAGATTCGAGAACTGAGGCATGAGGAGGCCAGAATTGATCATAAAAACGAAGTTTTCGCACTTACCAGAAAGAAGTCCTCCAAGAACTCGAATATTCGTCTCAAAGACGGAAACTATAAGGTCCGAATCGAGGCGAATGTTATCAACGACCATCTTTACAGCTCGCTCAAACTCATCCAAAGCACCAACAACAACCAGCGTGTCCAAAGTGTCGATGAGCGTTAGCGAAAAGCTGAAAGGATCCATCTGCCCACGTAACATACATGAACAGAAAGACAATTCATAAAAAGCAATGTCATAAACAGGGTCAAGCGTGGGGTGCGGCACGCCACACTTGGGGGGTCGTATTGAGGAGTCAAAAGGGGAGGGGGTCGTAGTTGGGTAATCTGATAATAGTGATAACATGATATTCGTATCATATCCATAATTAGGTCAAATAACCCCTGTAGACAAAGTGTGAACGAATTCTGAAGATTCAAGATACTAGGCTACCTAAATGAAATGGTCAAATTCCAACATGGTTAACTTTGTTTCAAAGGTGAATTAGCTATCCGTTTTTTGCACTCAAGACAAAGCACTACTCCTTCTTTGTCCACCTCAGGAATCCCGCTTCAGAAGACCTGCAAACTGTGGAATTAAAAGCCAACCAAAATCTCGTTTTTCCCATTTTTCGCTTTTGATGGCTGTGCTTTCACCAAATACAGGGTGTCCCAAAAAAATGTATCGAACGTTTGATCGTTAATATCTCTCTTCTAAAGAAGTCTTTTCTCTTGCTTAAGATATTAATCTGTAGAGCTGGCATCAACTTAGATTTGCATTATAGAAGGAATCACCCATCTTTCTTCATTACTGTAGGATTACGGTAGAAACTTCAACGAGGATTTTGAGCCCTGAAAGGCCATATTTTGCCTCAAAAAAGAAACAAAACAGCCTGAAAACTTTTACACTAGGCTAATTAGAGTTGCTGATTACAACTTTAAAGTTCTCAACTCTTCATGATGCTTCATTGAAGAGGTATGCCATTTAAGAGGTAGCTGCCATTTTTTCAATGTTCTTAAAAAGTGCGGTTACACCGTTTAGAAAGGTTCGTAATCTTGTGAATAGTTGAGTATTGAACTCAGCGTCCATAAAAGCCTTATTACACAAGTTTTTACAATTTTTTGAAAAATTTTGAAACGGCAGCTTTTTCTACATTGACACCATATGTTTCAAGTTTCTACCGTAATCCTACAGTAAGGAAGAGGGATGGGTGATTCGTTCTATAATGCAAATCTAAGTTGAAGCCAGCTCTACAGTACGGTACCTGAAGTAAGGCACAAGACTTCTTGGGAAGAGTGATATTAACGATCAAACGTTCGATACATTTTTTTGGGACACCCTGTATTACTTAGAGCTAAGAAGATAAATCAGGCTCCAAAAAGTCCTATAGAATCTACATGTTTAGGCTATCGATTCATATGAATACTGTCCGCTAAAAATGTTTTTTTGATATAGTTAATGGGGTGCGGCACACCCCCTTAACTTGCCTTCAAAATCCAGAAAGCGCTCCATTGCTGGTATGAGTATTGAGCACATAGCTTCTTCTTGCTACATTGGAAATTTGGAGCCGAACGCCCCACCCATAAGAAAATTATGGCTCTTTCAATATGCCCATTCAGATCAAAATCAGCCGTCAAATTACGTGTGATTGTAAAGTGCAGTCACGGAAAATCGGGCGTACAGCTCTCAGAAATCTGAAAACTCTCTAGAAAAAGATAGTGTCCTCCAGAATGTCACACTTTGAGGTGCAGAGGTTAAGAGGAGGAAGAAGGGGTCGTTTGAGGGCTTTCATGGGGAGGGGGGTTGAAAGACTTGTGCCTGACCTCCTTCTCAACTCTGGTAATGCTATCTTAAGTATATAGTTCGGGGGGGGGGGGGGGTCTTATTAACACATTCACGACAATACGACCCACCGGTGGGTCGTACGTGTCCTGCCATTTCGGACAATACGACCCACCGGTGGGTCGTACGCTTTCTGAAGTTTTTGATTTTGCTAGTTCACGGTGAAAGTTTTTAGGCAAACCGAGTAAACTCGTGTATACATGTCTCGGAGTACTTCCCAAAAGATTAACAATTCAGACCACAGGACCCATCAGTGACCTGAAAATATCACGCAAATTCAATTTCGCAAAATATGCTCTGGTCCGAAATGGCAGTCATCGAAAATCGGCTCTGTCGTGAATGTGTTAAGACAGCAATCAGGGGGGGGGGGGGGGTCGTAACCAGCGATCGTGTGCCACACCCCTTGCTTGACCCTGGTCATAAATGACAAAAAATTACTGGAGTCACCATAACGTAAGATACAAATTAACCAAACCTACTTTCCAAGGCAGTCGTCGACATCGCCGCGACTTGGAGTGACCCCTCGCACGCGACCACGACACGAAAGAGGCATAAGTTCATCAGCTGGGAACGCATATGTCATGTATGAGTGGTATCCATGCATGAACATTTCATACGCCCGCTCTCTAAAGCAACATGGGTAACGTTTTCCTTTCGTAAAAAAATTGCTCAAAATATATATTGCATATTTAGAATATCAGTATGGCAGCTGCCAGACTTACGCGGTTCTACTGGTTCATCCGGTTCCCATTTGCTACTGTCAATTTAGTGATTTAACCAAAACGAATATATTGATTGAATCGGATAAGTCTGGCACCTACCTATCTAAGAATTTTTCAAAACTAGATACTGGCTGCATAGATAATATGGTCGACCAGCTAACAAAGATTGAGGTTTGAAAAACTTGAAACCAAGCTTCTAAACCGCTGACCATAACTACAATGTCTATGTACACTATAGCAGTGCTTCTATGTGATCCACAATGCCTATACAAATAGAAATGCCTGGAAGTTATTTTACAGAAAGATTTCTGACTTGCTGGTTGTGATATGTATATATTAAATGCTATATTAAGATATTATAAATTGGGCGATGTCTCCAATCTTAGAAATTTCGTTGATCTTCGAATTCGAGTAATTTCCTATGTCTCCGATGCAAAAGAGGCGAAATTTGTGAGGAGCTTCGTACTAAAACTTTAGGAGAACTTCCACCAATGGAATTTGGTAAATAAAATTTCCAAAAGCAGACTGATTTTGCGTTAAACACTCAAAAGCCATGCAGGTACAAACTTACTTCAGTTCCGTTTTGTTCAGCTCAGCATTGCAATGGCCCAGTATCAAAAATAGCATGATGAAGATACTGAAAGACGGCATCACGGCAGGCAAATGTTTTATAATAAGGCGAAGCGATGGTATTCATCCAGGATGAGTCCAAACAATAGCTAGCAGCGTTCCATAATTAGAATGGCACCTAAAAATGCAAGTTGCTAATGACAATGCACTTGACAGCGTAGTTGCACTTCGCCCAGAATACAGAACAAGGTGAGCACGTAAAATGGCATCTTCAAGGAAAAACTCACGAGAAAATTTGAAGTTAAGTGGGCTTGATGCCCTAAGCAAGTTTTCGCTGCAGAATAACCGGTTTTGCTCCAGCGGTTGCGTCGCGGCGCGCCGTTTCGGGCAGATTGTTGGTTTGACCAGCGCAGGCATTGTCGTTTTTGTGAACCCGTTCATAAGTGCTTCGGTGACCGGCTAACATGACCGCATTTGTTGACGATGCATTGCTTTCATCGCGTGGTGATCGCAGTGGCACTTCAGTCGCCCCAATAAACTTCGCGGACAGCAACGCAGATATAGCGAAATGTGAGCCGTGATTTAACCAAATTAGATGGCGAGCCTATGGCGGACATTGCTCTTACGCAGGGTTGAGCAAGAGGTCAGGCACAAGTCCTTCAAAAAGACCCCCCCCCCCCCTGTGAAAGCCCCTAAACGACTCTTCGCTTCACCTCCAGTCTTTAGGGTGTCATATTTTGAAGAAGACCAGCCTTCATTGCAGGTTTTTATTTTTTGAAAGTCTAAGCCCGACTTTCTGCGATTGCACAACCACACGCAACTTGACGGCAAGTTTTAGATCTGGATAGTCCTCTTTTCAGAGCTATAATTTTCACAGGGGTGAAGTGTTCGGCTTCAAATTTTCAATATAGCAAGAAAAGGCTTTGTGCTCAGTACTCATATCAAAAAGCGGCGATTTTTGAATAGTGAAGGCAAGTTAAGAGGGTCAGGCGCAACCCCTCAAAAGCTCAGGCGGCCTTTTGAAGGGTTGCGCCTGTCCCCATTAACTTTATTTCCGAAAAAGCTTTTCTAACCAAGTTTTATGTGATTCGCTAGCTCAATCCTCGAAAATTCCACAGTAGGTGTTTGAGCTTGATTCGACTTGTTTGGGTGCGTAGCAAGTGTTACCCAGGCAGCCGCCTGGTGCCGCAGCCAGCCGCCAGATCTGGCACCAACGCCGCGGCTGAGCTACCGTAAGCGCGCTCTCGTCGTCCGCAATCTCTCGCAGAGAGATTTTCGCAGCAGCCTCGCACCTCATCGCGCTGAGGTGCGAGAATTCCCTCAGAGGTCGAGCTACTGCCACATATCATATATCGATCAACATAGCGGAAAATTTGTAGTTTATTAGTAACTAGCTGGCTTACCCGGCTCCGCCGTATCCGGACCAAACTTGGCACACATACACTTCGGGCCCCGGCGGGTGTCACAGTCCACTTTTCGTTATCGATCGGTGTCGATTTTACCGATTTTTATCGATTTTTTTGTAGAGTTCACCTACAGGGCTAGGAGTTGGCACAGGGGGGGAAGTGAGCATGGGGATTCCGAATACAATATTAGTTTTCAGAATTATCGATTACTTTTATTGATTTTATCGATTTTTTGTAAATTTTGACATGCGAGGCTGGGATTTTGCACAGGGGGGTAATCGAGCATGCTGATTACGAATACAACATTAGTTTTCAAGATCGTCCATTACTTTTATCGAATTTATCGATTTTTTGAAAATTTGAGCTAGGGGGCTGGAATTTGGCACAGGGGTGTAATCGAGCATGCTGATCACCCCCCCCTTGGGGATGATCAGCATGCTCGATTACCCCCCTGTGCCAACTCCCAGCCCCCTAGCTCAAACTTTGCAAAAAAATCGATAAAATCGATAAAAGTAATCGATAACCCTGAAAACCAATATTGTATTCGGAATCCCCATGCTCGATTACCCCCCTGTGCCAACTCCCAGCCCCCTAGCTCAAACTTTGCAAAAAAAATCGATAAAATCGATAAAAGTAATCGATAACCCTGAAAACCAATATTGTGTTCGGAATCCCCATGCTCGATTACCCCCCTGTGCGAACTCCCAGCCCCGTAGCTCAAACTTTGCAAAAAAATCGAAAAAATCGATAAAAGTAATCGATAATCCTGAAAACCAATATTGTATTCGGAATCCCCATGCTCGATTACCCCCCTGTGCCAACTCCCAGCCCCGTAGGTGAACTCAGCAAAAAAATCGATAAAAATCGATAAAATCGATATCGATCGATGACGAAAAGTAGCCTATGACACCCGCCGGGGCCCGTAGTGTATGTGTGCCAAGTTTGGTCCGGATCGGTTCAGAAATGAAATTTTCTATTCGGAACATACGTACAGACATACAGACAGACAGACAGACAGCTTTATATATAAGATACACATTACAAAAAATATACAAAAACAAAAAAAGTTAAATAAATAAAAACATAAAAATTAAATTGAAAGCATAATATCGTGGAGTAATTTCATAAAATTATAAAATAGATTGTTGAATGGTTTTTTGGCACAATTCGTTGTGACCTTTGGGGCAGAAGACTTCTAACACCAACTAGGTCAGATATTAGAAAACTGTGCCACATATGGAGGTATAAAAGAAGAAATGATGCTGAGTAGCTAGGATTCGAGATGTCAAACTCTCAACTTTACAGCCTTCAGTCTGAGCATCTTGCTCAAATTACCTATGTAGAAAATCCGTCCCTTTTGGAGGTAATTTTTGATTTTTTGCTAGTTACCGAATCTTTTTGAAAATTTATCAATCCCAGAATCCACTACCTGCTACAAGCCAACTCTACTCTGCAGCCGCTGAAAGTCGTGAATTTCGTGGAGAACTCGAAATAAGTGAGCAGGGGGTTCACCCTGTAATTGTATATGATGTCCCGGGCTCTCACCTTTGCTACGTTTTTCAATATCACAAAAAAACTTCAAGGACCGACACGGCACTTTATACTTGTCGCAGATGTAGGAGACAAAACAAGAAATATGCTTCTGTTGCGGTATGTAGATGACTGTTAGCTGATTTTTAAAAATTTCTCTTTAGGTAAACAATGATTTATTTGAACAAGATCCCTGCCTCTTGAGTCACAACTGTATACCCATGGACAGAAATAAAGACAAAGCAAACCGTGTGGCTTATGAGGTTTTTGGAAATTTGAAATTTACTTGTGATTCAAAAAATATTGCGAGTTTAGAGCTGCTAGAAAATAAAAAGGGGACCGCAAAAACAAAGAATCAGCCCCGGTGTCCAATTCAACGAAACCGCCTTTTCGATTTTGAAAACTTCATGGAAATGTAGGTTCCCTGACTAGATATAACTAAATTCAGTAGAAAGAAAATGACTTTAGCACTGGAGGCTAGAAAGAAAGTCTTTGCAAATTTTGTGAGAACGGGCTATGCAAGCAGAAGGTGCTCGTTTACTGGGTAATTCCTTATTTCTTTTTTCATTTCAAGATTAATTGTGAATTGTTGGATTTTTGGATTTTTGTGGATTTTTTAGAGCTGCATCCTCGCAAGTAAATAGGGTAGAAATGAACAGCATCCCCGAAGAGTTGAGAATTTTACCGGATGGGGAGGCCGCTTTCAATTTAATTTTTATTTTTTTTATTTATTTAACTTTTTTTGTTTTTGTATATTTTTTGTAATGTATATTACTAATAAGCTACAAATTTTCCGCTATGTTGATCGATATATGATATGTGGCAGTAGCTCGACCTCTGAGGGAATTCTCGCACCTCAGCGCGATGAGGTGCGAGGCTGCTGCGAAAATCTCTCTGCGAGAGATTGCGGACGACGAGAGCGCGCTTACGGTAGCTCAGCCGCAGCGTTGGTGCCAGCTCTGGCGGCTGGCTGCGGCACCAGGCGGCTGCCTGGGTAACACTTGCACGCCTCCCGACTTGTTTCGGCCTTGTGCTAATCCGAGATGAAGCACTCAACGTGATAAACGCGCCGGTTGGAATTTTGGCAGCACTTCTTACTTCACTGTTTGAAAGCGATATGAAGTCCGATTTGTAGCATAGACTTGTAGGGAACATTACTTTGTTATGAGTATACAAAAGCTGGCTTTTCTCACTTCTGAAACCAAGTTGATCTTGGACGACCGGTAACGGCACGTCGTCCATTTGGCTGGATTCGCCATGGAGCGCGTTATTGGCACGGAACTTGAATTTGGATCACTTGCATTGCAATGGATAGCATCTGAAGATAAGAATGATCCCAAGAGATTTTGTTTCTCTTTTTGACCCAGGTGCATCTTTTTGTATGTTCACTCATCAAAATCCGCTTCGGTTTATGCATGTATCTATATCATCAGCTCCCAGATTCGTGTAGAGATGGAGTCTTGCCAACCCAACGTAAGCGGTTTGACAGAGAAAGAGTACGAAAAGCAAGTCATAATGTGGAGGTTTAACACATTTAGTTTTACAATCGAAAGTCCTCAACCGCCCTACACTCAATCTGGGAATTGATCATACTTACTTTTGCGACAATGTCCGCAGTTGGCAGCTCCTCCCAGTCACCTCAAGGTTAGATGCAGGCACCCTGCGGCGGCTTTTGCCCAAGCAAAACAGGAGGAGGAAATTGCGGCGTGCATTGCATATTCAAACAAGTCAAAATCCGGGGAACGCTGGAGACTGCCCGTGCAAAAAGACATCTCTCGTTCAAGTTGTAATTCTAGAAATTAACATTGCATTCGTAATCAACATGCTCGCTTACCCCCCTATAACAACTTCCGAGGCCGTACCTTGAAGTTTGTAAAAAAAAAATCCATAAAATTGATATCGGTCGATTACGGCGAGTAGGCTAACAACCGCACCGCCCCGAAATGTATGTTAGCAAAGTTTGGCCCGGATTGGGTTGGGTTGGGTTGGGTTGGGTTGGCAAGACTCCATCTCTACACGAATCTGGGAGCTGATGATATAGATACATGCATAAACCGGAGCGGATTTTGAGTGTGAACATGCAAAAAGAAGCACCTGGGTCAGAAAGAGAAACAAAATCTCTTGGGATCATTCTTATCATCAGATGCTATCCCCTGCAATGCAAGTGATCCAAATTAAAGTTCTGTGTCAATAACGCGCTCCATGACGAATCCAGCCAAATGGACGACTTGCCGTTACCGGTCGTCGTTGATCACGTTTGAATATCACGCTTTTTAGGCGTTGAGAAACACTAGAGACTGCAGTATGTAATGGTTTGTAGAGCGCATGGAGGTGATTTGACATGCTAATTATGGAAATGATACCCATTTCACAGAGCAAGCTTCCTTGTTTACCTCA